ACTTTAAGATGTTGACTTTTTACTTTAAAATGTTGATTATCATCCTTTTTACCCCCTCTTTTAATCTGAATTTTGGCCCTCCATGTGCCCGTAGCCTGGAAAACAATTCTAAGATATTTAAAGGTCTCAACCTGTTCAATAACATTCCCATTAATTTGCTATTCATATTTAAAACTAGGAAGTCTCTTTAAAAATACTTTTTGTTGTTGTTTTTTGATAGTTAATAAACAGATCATTATCCATGCAGTAGGAGGCAATTGATCTTAATGATCTCCTCAGTCCAAGGGGTGAAATTGAGATAATGGCTAAATGGCAGGTGATTTTCTAGATATCTGAATTTTTCCACCATATCATTGATATAAAAATTGAAGAGCAAAGGACTAAAATATAGCCTAGTTTAACACCCTTGGAAGTAGGCACCACAGCAGAGAGTTGACCTTGGTTGTCAACCTGATTTGAACAGAGACGTTATCATGCAACATTTTAATAAGTGCCAGCAGCAATCTCCAATTTGTTCTTCAGCTGTTCTCTAGAAAGAGTCAAAAGCTCTTTTGAAGTCAATCAATGCCACATACAGAGCTCCTCTAGGGATTGATACATATTTTCGATAAGATGTTGTAAAGCCAAGCACTAGTCCATGGTATCCCACTATTCATTTTCTGAATATTCTACTACTCATAAAAGTAATGCTTTTGATTTTATTTCCATGAAAATTGATTCGTGTGAATCTAACACTAGTAGACTAAATCTGGTGCAGATTGTTTGGATCTTGCTAGGAGATAACAGTTCAAAAGCTAGCTACGTAAATTACTGGCAAATAGTTCTGATGATAATTAGCGACTGACAATTCCTCTGAGGAGGTTACAGAGAATAGAAACTAGAGGAAGGACAGAGCTCTGTTGAGATTACACTACAGGTCGTCCCCAAGTTAAGAATGCCAGGTTACAGACAACCCATAGTTCAGAACGGAGCCTATTGTAACAAAATTTGGGTTAAATACACAATGATTCGAGTTAAATACACAATGGTTCGAGTTCATTACACAATACTACTTATACGGTATTATACAA